CATAATTTGATTTGATGAGAATATTTTTTCTTATTTTTATAATTTTTCTATTTTATTCTTATAGTTAATAAAAAAAAAGGAGCTAGTAATGATAATTAAAAAAATAATCGATGAATTAAATGATACAAAATCACAATTATATTTCAGATGATATTATTCTATCAATGAGACATACAAAGGTACAAATCCTATGAATTCACTCCTTGAACGAAAGTAAGACTAATAATTATCCAATATTTTTATATTAATTTTTAATTATTATCTTTCTTTCCTCTCTTCTCACTTGTGCTCGTCCAACATCACACATCTTCGTTAGACTATGATTATATGAAGTTGGCCACCACAGTTCCTGCAATTTGCCACCTACTAAACTCACCTTTTAACATAATCTTAGAACTCAGATTTATAGAGCAAGTACAGAAATAATTCAAGTGACTAGATCAATAATGATCTCACAAATGTGCTAATGTGAAACAAACAGTTGTTAGAACATAAATTTTTTTTTCGAATATCTCATGTTGTTGATAGAACTAATTACATATAAACTCCTATAATCTTATTAGTATCGTAATCTATTTATTTAAAAAATTTAAAAAAATTATAATTTTAAAAATAAAATAAATAACTCTATTTATCATTTTTATTTTTAACACATAAAATTCTAAAATAAATTTTTTACCATAAAATCATTAAAACTAATAAAATTTAAAATTATCTTTTTATCCATCATCTTCATATGTGTCATATGCATATATATATCATCTTCGTATATGTATCATATATCAATACAATTAACGATGATATTAGATCGAATAAGATTATTTATTTTATTTTTAAATTTTTAAAAATTTTAATATAACTTTTTTAAAATATAAAAACTATGATACTAATATGATTTGAAAGATAATTTATAATAAACTGATGATAGGAACCTAATCTTGAATTGTTGTGAAGCATGAATGGATACCATGCACAAGAAATATCAAAAAAGAGAGACACTAAAACAAAGACTGGAAGAAGATACAAGCAGGAGTTAGAACACCAAGAAAAGTCTTATCTCATGTTATTTGGTAGGAACCCAATTTGAGCTGATGTGAACTATGTATGGACTGCATGCACAAGAATAGTACAACACAGAAACACTACAACCAGCTATAACTTCTCATTCCACTTCCACATCAAAAATCTTGAGCAATCTAGGAAGAAGTAACATCATATGAGAAGAAGCATCTTCTTTGTCAAAATTTCACATTTACTTGAATGATTAACCTATGACAATAGTTCATATGTTGATGCATATTATCCATGCTGAAACCGCAGCATTAAGATTGATCACACATCCAACATAGTGAAAGGTATGCCATAAGGAATATGTGTTTGCATGCACATGAAATACAAAACACTTCTTGCTTACTTATTGCATCTCATAATCGGAGTGCTATATTTGATATCCTATACAGATTTATGTCAAGGAATTGAACAGTTAAGAGATGAACATGATTGAATTGATGCATTGCCAAAGACCAGTAAGTGAAACTTCACCACATCTGAGACAATCTTAAAAGCTTTCTGAAAAATATGTGAAGATGCTTAGGGGTATATAATCGAACGCCAAGACACTTTCAGACAGACTCACTCATATTCAAAACTAGTTCGTCAGCAAGCAAACCGATTAGTTGCTTTAGAAAACATAGACAATGAAATAAGGAAAACATGTCTCTAGCATAGCCTTCCATACAATTCTCAGAGAAAAAACTAATTAACCTAATAAGTTCTTCAAGGTTGGTGCTCATCTTAAAATCAGTGTAGCTCACCTTATTAGAGCATTCCATTGTATAGATGTGCATAAAAACACAACAATCCGTGGAGAAAATTTATCTTGAACTCAAAGTTCCTAATAGATTCTTCGAGGTCAGTGTTCATCTTCAAATCGATTCAGTTTACATTATCAGAACATTCCACTGTAGTGTGCATGATCAATATTTTACCTCTCACTTCATCAACATTTCATCACTGTAATGTCCTAAACACAGAACAATGAATCTCTCTTCTTAATGTATTTACTGTGCTTCATAAGGTTCGAGAAGCATTGATATACCCAACCTTACACCTATAAGCACAATTGCATGGACTTAAAGCATGAATGACAAATTAAGTCTCATTGAAAGCTTTAAATAGAAAGTTCAGGTTCTATCAGACTTCAATTCATAAGTTATGAATCCAATCATAAACTAAAAACATCACATTGCATTTGAATTTTGTGTTGGGTAATTCATGCTATCAAAATCTGATATTAAATATATATCATACATGCCAGGCCCAGTGCCACAAGAAAAGAGGTTCATTTCATGATATCAAACTGATTGCATATATGAATGTGAATGGCTCACATGACTGCATCAACCTCAATCATATTAGCCAACATTACAAGCTTCAAAGAGACAACCATGTTTCAAACAAACATAAACTACACTCATCGAAAGTATTCTTTGGCAATTTAACCAATCATGCTTATACTGCTTCATTAACAAATTGTCAAGATAGTAATCCACACATCTGAAAAATATATTTCAGATAGAATAAATCTTGATTGATGTTAAGTTTAGTTTATATATGGAGAACCATTTTTCTGGTCATTCCAGTCAGTAAAATCATATCAGAGGATAATTGTCTGGAAAGAGATTAATATAGTATCCACCATACCCATTTTACATCATGAGACAAGCTAAACCAAATTTAGCTATGATCATAACCACAAATCAAGCAAAGCTCTCGAACAGGGCCTGGAATTATTAACATCAGTATGATTTCTTCCATGGTTATAAAGAACTAGTACTTTCTAAAGGACAAGCTATAAAGACTACAGAAGTTGACAAGTATAGGTTGTCTTACTCACTCAATTTTGAGAGGTGTTGATGCACTCACATCCTTTTTACAAACAAAAAACCATGGCCAGCAGAAAAAGAAAATTGTCCATCTTATTAATGACTGGCATTTCTCCACGACAGGGTATGGGCTCAAAATTGAGCATTTCAAGGACTGCAGATATCAAGAAAGGCAATAAATTCTAGGTCTATGTTGAACAGAGAAAGAAGAAAGCTTAGCTTTTCACAGAAGCAGGAAACTGCCAGTTAAAAGAGCCAGTAAGTAGAGAGAAAGAGAGAGAGAGAGAGAGTCTTACTCAATGGTTCAACCATGCTCAATACTAGCTATCATAGACAACCCTTAAAGCATCAACAACTAAACAATATGAGCACAGCAACACATTCTTCATCGATGATGGGGTTGATAGGCAAGTGAACGTGCTGTCGTATCATCACTCCTAGGGAAAGAGAGGAATATTAAGCAGCCATAGGTAGCTTTACGGCCAGTTGACTAGATTCTCTTACATCGTTCTCGTGAAGGAAGTGTCATTCCGATGCAAGTTCAAATGCAATGCCCTCGTAAACCACAGTTGATTCGACACACAAGAAGAAAGCATACGAAAAAGGAAGAAGGCCTAGGAGTCAAACTATTAGCCTAGCTAACCAAAAGCTCACATGAACCAAACAGTCGAGTTTGGGGGACGACATGATTCCCACCGAGTCCACAGTAATGCAGTGAAGAGTTGCAGCACACTGGACTTGGAGAAGAGAGAAGAGGATGCAGCACTCATCATCTTTAGCAGGTATAGTAATTATTAGAAAGAGAAATAGTCGATTGAGATGACGCATATGACCACGACAATTGAGATCTCACACAACAATAGATAGACGATAAACGATAGAATGTAAAGGTCGGGGAGGGATTGGTTGCGGTGTGAAGACTGAAGGAGAGTTCAGCTTATTTGGTTACCGTAGTTGGCGCCTCCAATCAATCCAGCACTGCCTCCGAAGACGCCGGACTGAAGCAGAGGCGATGACGATGAACCGCCACCGTTTTGGCTCCCGAGGTGCAGCTCCGAGATGTCTGGAATGTGGTCCTTGGCCTCGTCGCCATGGCCGCCACCGTCGTGGACGCCTTGACCGTAGAGTAAACCCTTGAAGACGCGTCCGCCGATCTTGACCACGGCGTGGTAGGCGTACTGGTCCTTGCTGTCGTGAATGGACGTCACCCGAACGCACCTGAACACTGCCTGCGCTCGAACCTGCCCCGGAAGGCTCTCCCTGATGCTGGCGTCTGAAGCTGCAGAATCGGTGGAGGGTAAAGTTGGATTCTTTTAGGTGTGGTGGGAGAAGGAGAAGCGGTCGAGTTCTTGGGGGCAATACCTTCGTGGCCGGAGGTGGCGTCGCAGCTACCGGGTGGGTTGTCGTTGGAGGTGAAGGTGTGGGACGCGGTCGCCGGCAGAGAAGCCACAAGGCGGGGCTTTTTGGAAGTGGAGGCTGAGGAGCCAGAGGCAAGGGCGGTGCGCAGGCGCTCGCGGCGACGGGCGGCGGGGACCCAGGTGCTCTTGATGTGGGTCGAGCACTCGAACCCGCGGCTTTTGCAGCACGTCCGGCACCGGCGGTGGCTGCAATCCTTCTTTGCCTGGTTGCCGCAGTCCTGGCACGTCGCAGAACTCCCGCCCACCGCCGCGCCCCCACCAGTAAGAATTCCGCCGGCGTCGAGCATGGTGAGCATGGACTTCCCGAGGTAATCCGAGAGGGTGGGATTAGGGTTAAGGTTAGGGTTAGGGTTAGCGCCATGTGTGTGCGGCAGGTAATTGTGGTGGTGGGGCGGATGGGGCAGGGCCGATTGCCAGAGCTGGATTCCCCCGTGCTTAGACCGAGCAACGTTCTCATCGTCGACGAGGCACGGCGCGGCGGCGAGGAGGGGGATGATCGGGTGCTGATCCGCAGCCGACGACGAGAGTAAGGACGCGTGGTGATGCTGCTGGTTGAAGGAGGCGGCGGAGGCCAGCAGAACCATGCCCATGTCGGCAGGTACACCATAACCGCTAGCCTGTCTCCCGCCGCCAGCGGCAGCGGCGGACGATGAGCTGGAGCCAGCCCATACTACACCGGCGGCTCCGCTGGCTCCACCACCTCCTCCTCCGCCACCGCCGGCACCGAAGCCGAGGCAGAGGTCGTCGCCTCTGCCGGTGGCGGCCGAGGACGCCACCCAGTCCGCGAAGGCGCCAGTGTCGGAAAGGAATCGCCTTCCAGAAGCCACCCCGCCTGCTCTTATATCCAGAAGGACTCCTCCCACCACTTATACTCTCTCTCCGCTCCTCTCTCTCCTATTCTCAGACCTCCCTCTGTCTCTCCCTACGCCTACGACTGACGATATCTTTCCATTATTACCTATCTCAATTCTGTCTACTGTTTCTTCAGCACTAAATAATCTGTCATAGTGGCCATTCTTCCCACTTTTATTATGTTTTCTATAGTTGTTTTCTAGTGCTGAGGTCTGTCCGTGTGGGGTTCATGATGGAGGCACAGATTGAAACCTAGAGAGAGAGAGAGAGAGAGAGAGAGAGAGAGAAAGACACAAACACAAAAGGGTGGGTGCGGGTGATTGAATGCGAAAGGTTCCTTTCCCCCCCCCCCCTCTCTCTCTCTCTCTCTCTCTCTCTCTCCATCCTTCGTCCTCCGTCACATGACGTATAATTGTGGACGTCCATGCTTCCATGGCAAGCTGTGCACGGGGGTCCGGGAGGATCATTGCATCCCCGACGGGTTCAACGTACCAGAAAAAGGAAGCGGAGACGTCGACTCGCAACTCCACTCCCATCAAATTCTATGCTTTTCGTAGCTATTCTCCCATTCTCAGCGAAGAATATATGCCATTGCTTTCGTTTGTTAATGTCCATTGCCAAGCACATCTTTGTTAGTATTTTAGTGACAGCGTATGATGGACTCCTCCTTAATCTCTTTCTCCACTCCATCTTTTGTCTGCACGCAAGAGTGAGCTTTAACCTATGCCGTCGTAATCATCACAGATCTCAGCGTCAGAGTTCACGGCACGTAACGCCTGGTCACCATACTCGCAGGAGAGCGACGAGCTCATTGGTGGTGGCGGAGGCGAGGGACCCGAGGAGGGCGGGAGGCAAGGCCGTACGACCCGCCGCTGCACGCCACAACCCCTCCGTAAATCTAGCATGGGCTGTCTCCGAGCCGCTTCGCCTTCTGGAGCACCGCGCGTGGTCCTCGTCACCGCGTTTAAAGCTCGTTCTGTGCGCTTCTGCGGGGAGACCAGCTGGGTTTCTGTCCTTTCCCTGGCAGTGCCACCCTTTTCCTTCCTCCCGTTCTCGAAATGCTTCTTCTTCCTCTGATCACATGCGTCCAAAGCGGGAATGGGAGTTTCATATCTTGTTAGAGGGAACAGCGACAGCACCAGCAGCGGCAGGAATGATGGACTTGGATTGCTGCTGCACACAGCAACGTGCAGCATATGGATCAACAAGATTCAGATGCCATTCATGGCCAACGACTCGGAGGAGACGATGCCATGCATGAGAGAGAGAGAGAGAGAGAGATCGGTTGGATCAGAAGCTTACGGGAATGCCACTGAGATCTGAAGCCTATGTTTCAGCTGCAAGATACTGTAATCCGGGAAGGAATCATACACAATAATATATATGCATTAGGTCAATCACATACTTTCTTTAACATATAATTTAAACACATGTACCCAATGTCATAAATGAGCGTTCATCAACTGCATGAAATTTCATGCATTCATCTGTCTGAATCATTTACACGGCTCTTAATTAATTAGCCCTAATTATAAGTTGACTTGGACTTTTTCAACAAACAAACAAAAATCAATGTTTAGTGTGCAAATTTTTTTGATACACAATGTAGAATTGTAGCAATTAAAGGTTAATTGTATTATCCATATTACGCTAAGAATTAAGATTGTCTTATAAGAACATCTCAAGTACATTTGTGGTGTGAGCTTTGATGTTTGTGAATATATACTAATTTAATCGTCAAAAGATTCGTTTAGATAAATTCTTCGTATAATTTACTACCAAAAAATAGGATATAAGATACCGACATCAATTATCTTTAAACCAAAAATGAGATAAAAATACATATTTTTTTTCTTTCAGAAAATTTATCCCTCATCTAAAGTCTCGTACTCAATTATCTCTCTCAATCTTTCAAACGTAAAAAATAAATTAGGTCAGTAAATGAATCATTCATGTTGTTCCAAACACTCGTACTCCATCTTCTCCTTTGCACTCAGGCAATTAAATGTTAGGGAGTTTCCAAATCCAAGTGATACTAATCCTCTTCTTCACTCACATGCTATGCTATGCTATGCTATGCTTCGACGAGGGTAAACGTATCGCGTCTGGACTTCAACTCACGATTCAAGTCACCTCTTATTCGTGAGCCAAATTGCGACGCCAAGCCGTGTTCCGGCCGTCACTTAGCGTGGTACCCCACGCCACTCTTCTCCCCTACCCCCACGTCTTCGTGAACGACCCAAATCACGAGTTACATTGGCATGCCGAGCTCTGCCTCTCTTCTGTAAGGAGCGTGGTAAGCTTTCGTTCCATGCAAGTCATGGTCAAGATCGTACGAGATTCGTTGGTGGGGTGCTATCAGACTGACCTAATTTTGTCGTTCGGCGATGACGAGGCAGAAAAGACAAAGAAGGGACAAACCGTGAAAGCTTTTCCACATCTCGTTTTAGATTCCCGAAAGTTGAATGTGGAGACTCGAATAGATATCTTACCGATAACTACGACTTAGGTTGGATGCATTTGAAATCTACGTTCGGAGCTGTGTATATTTCAAACGTTAATTAATATTTAATAATTTGTTTAATAATATTTAATATTTAATAATTAACATTCCAAATGCTCGATACCATCTTTAGATAACGATTAACATTTTAGTATTTATGATATACTAATAATTTTTTTAAATTTCTAAATGTACCCTATGAAATTTTTTAAGATCATAAAATTATTATTGTAATAACATAATATTGAAAAGAGATAATAGTTGGACACCGGATCACTTCAAGGGGGTTTGGTGAACCAACAAGTCACTCCTCTCGTTGAAGTATCGAGCTTCTTTTTTTGTTTCTTAATTTACATCTTTGGAATATCTTAGACGAAAATTTCGCTCTATTCTCTCAATAATCTTCGTTTTACATCACGTCGATTTTATCGTGGAATTAGACTAAGAATAATCTCAATTCTCGATAGGAGCTCGTCTCTCGTATCTTATCTTTCACATCATAAATATTGAGATATTATTGGTTTTTCTCAAAGCCTCCTGTAAAATGTAGGTTTTGCTAGAGTAGATTAGTAAGTTAAGTAAGTTTAAAAGTCAAAGGGGACAAGCAACGCAACGGAATAAATATATTTTTATTGAAGTTTGGTAGTGAAGTTAGGTAGAGTACTTATACAATATATGAGTAAGATTGAATAAGGAAGGAACTATCAAACAAACTATAACTCTTATTTCCTCTCACATTTTCTCTTGATTTTTGTTATTGTCGATTGATATATTTTACATTATATAATTTTTTTTAAAGATTAATTTATATGATTATATTTAATTATTTATTACATATCTAGATTATATATTTTTAATAAATATTTAAAAAAATATTATAATGGTAATTTTATCATATAATATTTGATGAACTTTTTGAAATATAATTTTACCAAACAACACTTGCATTAATATATATATATATATATATATATATAATTTATTATTTATCAAACAGTGAAAATATTCCATAACTGCATATTCATTTAAGATTATTTTTTCTTTAAACACATACTAAAAATACAAACGTATTTGAGTTTGCTTCCATGTGTACATACATCAATTAGTATCTAAAGTTTGGAGATTAATATGATTGTATCTATTTAATTATATGAAGTTGCAATTGTTATTTGTTGCTTTTCGGTTGTTTGTGAATGCCATCAGTTTCTTATATGTTGAGAAAATATAATGAAAATGGTACTACTAGTCTTAAATGATTAAATTTATGCATAAAATAAAACATCATAGTGGATAATATAAATCTCATGATTTTTAGACCTAATAATATTTATTAAATAAATTTTACTTAAAAATACACATTGATCCATCCATCGTTAAATGCCTTAAGGATTCTTTGAATTTATAGTGACAAAGGATACATTCCACTAAATAGCAATTCAAAATTAATATATAATCACGATGAAGATGAGTCATTCAAATAGTTTTACAATTCAAATGATTCTTTCGTAAATAATAAAATTAAATTTACTTATTGAATTATTATTAAATATCATAGGAATAAAAAAATCATATGGATTCAATACTTAATTGTTGAGATTAAAAAAACCTAATAATGGCCTCGGCTCAAGTTTAAGATGACAAATGAATAGGTAGCTTAGAACAAAGACTCGTAGAAGTATTTGTGAGAATATGGTCTTCCAATGCAACCAAAATTTATGACCTTCGTAACAAAGACTCGTAGAAATATTTGTGAGAATCTGTTCTTCAATGCAGCCAAAATTTATGACCGTCGTATATCTCGTATGGCTCGAGATATGGTCTTCAGAATCACATCACGTTTCTGCAATTGCATGCAGCCGTAATTGGAGACCTCAACGAAGAAAACCTGCCCTTTATATATATATATATATATATATATATATATATATATATATTAGCAGGAGCAGTTCTACGACATGATGCGTGTGGAGACTGCTCACTGGAAGTAGCAGACCGATCAGAAGGGGACCGGCAGCAGCGATGGAAGATCCGTATGTATGCGCAGAACGCACCGTCCTCCGCCGCTGCACCAAAGGCAGGCATGCAGATGAGGCGACAGATGGGATATGAGCGAGTGACATAAAGGGCAGAGTGGCGGGGATAGGGATGCTGGGAAGCAGACAAGAGAAGAGGGTGGAATAGTCGATGGAGATGGGACTTGGATTGGCATTCGAGGAAGGAAAGAGTGATGTCATGTCGTGGGTCGGCGGATGGCACGCTCATCAATGCACACCGTCTTCGTGCTCTCCCCCTCTCTCTCTCTCTCTCTCTCTCTCTCTCTCTCTCTCTCGATCTCTCTCCGTGTCAAAAAGTCTCATCGAGGACGTAGCCAAAGTTTCAATCATTCAAACAGAGTTGGTGCAAGACTAAATGAAGCAAGCAATCTGGTAGATTAATGTTGCCATCAAAGCCGTGTCCCATCAATAATGACTCTCTCTTTCTTTCTCTGTCTCTCTCTCTTGCTTTCTGTGGCTTTTTTTCTTTCTTTTGTTGGGAGATTCCGAGGTGATGCCTCGAGCCCTTCAAAGACGGGGAAAGGGGTCGTGGAAGAAAGCAAAAGGGCACATCTATGGCATTTATTAAGCCGAAAGCAC